CGGAAGAAGGGAGCTAGAGAGTGAGGTTAAAAAAGATGGAGAGGACACGGGAAGAGCTGCAGGCGATAGCCAAGGATAGAACGACTTGGCGTGAGTTGGTTAAAGGGCCTATGCTCCACTGGGGATTAGAAAGGCAGACGAAAAACATTTAACTCACCTCTGTTCGGAAGCTGAAGGCAAAGACCCCCCCCCCCCCCTCTTCTCCCCCGCCCAGAAAAATGTAAGGGTTGAAAGCTCCTTCAAGACAGAGGGGGGTCCCCTGTCTCTGTCTCTTGCAAGTAGCGCTCATGACCTTCAAACGTCTGTTCTCCGAGAAGATAGCTACCAATCTTAAACTAATCACAGACACGTGACGCAGTTTCACGCGCATCAATGTCGTACAGTGGCTTAGCCAGTTCGGGTGGTACCCGGTGAGGAAAATGCCTTCCCAACGGATATATATACATCTCTCAAAATATACATATAGTTTAACTAATTTTATCACCCCCTCAGTGATGACATCCCGTGCGACCCGCGTCCCCGCGTCCCCGCACGCTTCTTCCTAGGCTGTTGTCATGCTACTTTTCGAATCCCAAATGTCTTCAAAGGGAAAGGTGAAACCGAAATATACAGTTACTGGTGCCATCGGAATTGGAACGCTTCGCTGGCTGCTGAAGATGAAGACAGAGAGCTTATGGGAGTGTCCCGAATGCTATAATGTCGATTCTCAATTCAACGTTCAACATTCAAATATCTTCAAACCGCCTATTTGGGTCACTTTCTGTCAAGAATTCAACCCCTGCAACGACACGCAAGGCTGATCCTCTACTGCTCAAACATGGATGAAAATGTTATGGCTGATCTCACCATAAAGATAAGTGATTTTGATCTATTATTTTTTGTAGTACGTTTTTTTTTCCCACCGTGTATGGGACTTTTTAGGGGCCGGATTTTTTCCCTTTCAGAAATGACCTTGGCGCCCAGGTCGACCCCGCCTTGAGTGGGTCCCAGGTACATTCCTGGGAAAAAAAGCGGCCGGCGTGAGGCTGACCACACCACCCATAAAGTGCCGTTTAACCTATAAAATATAAATCTAGCCCTATACACCCAACACGCACGAAGGCGTGGAAAAGCGTCCTTTACTCTTTGATTTTTATTTTAAGGAAATTTTCTTTTATAATAGAGCTTCGATAGCAATGGAGACGTGGAGAAGAGAGCAGGAGAATGAAGATAGAAAGATTGGGAGGACATGGAGAGCTCCATGTAATGGCGAAGGATAGAACGACTTGGCGTGAGTTGGTTGAGGGCCTATGCTCCATTGCGGGTTAGAAAGGCGGGATAGAAAGGCAGAAGAAGAAAGAAGAAGAAAGAAGAAGAAAAGGAGGATGGCCATATGTCGCGTGCGGATGTACAACAGAACGCACCGGTACTGAGTGAGCAAATAGGACGTCAAAACAATACGTCAGGTAGTGAAGGAATTGTTGTCAAAGCATTCGATGTTTACAGTCTGAAGGGGACGGACGTGTGGATCCTTGAGGACGTTATACCCCAGGATACCACTGAAAGCAGTCATTGTATGAAGTTGGATCCTTGAAGACGCTCTACCCCGGGTCTCAAATATAAACCTCAGCAGAAAGCTAGTATAGTGCATACTTCGTTAGGCAGCAAGCCGGTATACTTATCTTACCTTGTTCAAAAGAGAAGATTGAGATGACTGTCAGGATCTCCAAGGTCGGACTGTGACCCGTCGTGTAAATTGATCAGTCGATTGATGTACGAGTCGGCTGTAAGCCGGTATACTTATACTACCGACTGTCTGGATTTCCAAGGTCGGACTGCGACCCGTCGTTTGTAATATGTCAGCTGACGTCGAGCGGTTTCTTGTGTTAGTGTGTTTGGATAAGTTTGGATTATTAATTGCACATTTTCTCCTTCTGTTGATCATTCCTATTGTCAATACACAATGGAACCTTTCGTAGAACGTTCGTTGTTTTAACGTTAGAAAGCATTTAAGCCTAATTCATCTTTGGTACGACACACATCAGCATGAAGCCGCCGCACGTCACACCATAGCAATGCAAATCTGTGGTTAAGCACCAGCAAGGAGATCAAAATTAAAATTTTGAGAGCATGAATCTTTCCTGTAGCAACACACGGATGTGAGTCCTGGACTATCTCTCAGTCCCTAAGAAAGATAGATGCTTTTGAGCTGAAATGCTATAGATTCTCAGAATACCACGTACAAAGAAAATAAGAAATACTGACATTTTAAAAGATCTAATTATTAAGGAAGATAGGCTAATAAACAGCATTTTGTCTGGGAAGCTGAAACATTTTGGTAATATCAAGCACCATGGCGGATATGGAAAAAATGATAGCAAAAGGAATGGTACCAGGAAAGGGGGGAGGGGGGGGGGCAGCGCTGTTAGGCTACTCTTTTCGATTTCCAACTGCCAAGGGATTTTTTACGTGCGTAACAATGCACACGGGCGTCCGATCTCCCGAACCAGAGAGCAGCCCTTTATGGGATTGAACCAAGAACCTCTAGCACTCGACGCGGGCACCTCGAGACCACGCAGCTCTCCAGGGGAAGAGAAGAGTCGGGCAAATAAGGAAGTGGATACAGAACTGACTGGACAGGCCTTAGCCATGCAACAATGAAGTGCATCACACCTGACCGTTAAAGGTGGAGGGAGCAGATCAGATAGTCAACCGAAACATGGCCCCAACGTCACTCAGTGTTAGGGTACGACGACGATGATGATGATGATGATGACGATGATGATGGGAATCTATAAGACACATAGTACTTCTTGTCTTGATTGAAAATTTGCAAGTAATATCAAATGTAGGACGGGAAAATAGATCAGGAAATAGAAACAAGATACCGACGAGCCAGTGCACTTATATACCAACTGACACCGTTATTAGGACATCCAAACAAAAGTATCAGCGCCAAAAATATCAGATTATAAACAGCAAAACTATGCTGCCCGTGCCAGAATTGGACACTTTAGTTAGTTAGTTAGTTAGTTAGTTAGTTAGTTAGTTAGTTAGTTAGTTAGTTAGTTAGTTAGTTAGTTAGATAGGTTATCATCATTGCACTCCAGACATGTCCAATAACAAGTCTTCTGGCGTGTCTAGTGTGCGTCTCATTTTTCGCTATGCCGATCTTAATTCCAAAGTCTGCCATTCTGACGAGTGATGTGGATTCACCGCCCCCAAAGTCCTCTATCCTTCCCATTTCTCTGAGAGCATTAATAATATCAGCATGACCCATAGGCTGATCGTCGGTAGTGATAGCGGATCCAGCCAACCTGTCAGCTCTTTCATTTCCATCGACGCCTGCGTGTCCCGGAACAAAAATAAAGGTGACTCCACGCACTGTGGACTTCTGTAATGATTCAAACCATTGTCTTCGCACCGGACCTGCTTGAACCCTCCAGATCATACTCATTGAATCACTGAGTATACATACGCGGGTGTATTTTGTGTTTCGAGTCATGCGAACGCTTTCGTCACTGCCATCACCTCCATTGTCATGCTGCTGGTTGCCATGGAGCAGGCGCCGTTGGCTTATTTGACTGTTCTGCCCGCTGAGTGTGCTGTGAATGCCCATGCGATTCTTTTTTTTTGGGGGGGGGGGGGGGAGGTGTTGGGGGGGGGGGGCGCATAACGGGTCCGTCTGTGTAGACTTGGACACTATCAAAGGCTAACTTGTGTAAGATTAACACTTGTGAAATAAGATGCCGGAGAAAAGACGCCAACTTTACCACCAAAGACAAGCAGCATTATCGTGGAGAAGAAGTGTAAATTGATCATGATGATGATCCAATGATGTGCTATATATTTAATCGTTGACAAGTAAACAGGACTTGATTATAGCTATGGCACAGCTACAAACACAAGCAACTCACCTGTGTTGTGCAGGTAAATGCCGTGACACAGATGGGCTTTAGCCGAGTCCGGCTTCAAGGTGACAGCCCGTGTGCTGTAGATTCCGGCCTGAGACAAGCTGTCGTTGACCAGCAGGGCGTGGGCCATAGTCACTACCGCCTCAAAGTTGTTAGGGTCCATTGTCAGGACTTGCTGAATCAACGCCAAACCAGACTGGTCGCCTTCGTTCCTGACATAAATACAGCCGTCGCGGTTATGCTATTTTTATTATGTTATATTATTAGTCGGTATTACTGCACATTGGACACTCCACCAAGGGCTCAGTCTTCCGACAAGCAACCATCCTAGTCTACTATACTGATTGTTCTCTTGAAGTTTGAAGTTTGAACAACCTATCAACATCATAGCACGCACGTAGCGCTCAGTTCTTCTCCTAACTCGTCTGAGTCAGAAGAAGCTCAGCACAGTGCACAGGCTCTGTAGCACAGGCGAGGATCCAGAAATACTTTAAATAGATTTAGGTAGATTTTTAACCCAAAATGTTGGCTGAGCAGCCTTGGTCTCCCCATTAGCACATCACCGGTTGTAGGTCAACTCCATTGATAAGTTGGTTAGACTAGTCTACGGTGGTCGAGGTTATGGGTGTCGCAGTCTGTTGCTGTCTGGAAGTGGTTTTTTTATTTTCGAAAAAGAGACGGCCTATGACATAGGTTTTGAAACTCTCTAGGGGGTTGTGTGTTAGACCCAGTATCTAAATGTTTTAGAAGTGTTAAAAGCCCTGGCATGGTGAAATGTACAACACCCGGCATGAGCGCGAGTCAGGAATATCCCCGTGACCTTGTGTGAAAGTCGGATCGCTCGAGACCGACCTATCAGAAGTAAGGTGGTCAGTAGGCCATCCAATCTAAAGCGAGCTAGTGTGTAGCGGTGTGCTAATGGGGAGACAAGCGTAAAATTTAACCTCTTTTCGATTTCCAACTGCTAAGAAATTTTTTTTACGTGCGCAACAGTGTTCACGTGCATCCATCTCACTACCCAGAGACCAGGGGGAATTACTGAGTCAGAAGAAGCTCAGACCACTCAGCCCCCTTATTGTTCTCTTGAGAAATTGAATAATATTTCTCCTAACTTTATACCCAAGATATCATTGGTATATTTTCATGTTGTTTTTCATTTTACTAGCAGTAACAGCAGTAGTAGTGATGGTAGTATTATAGTAGCAGCAGCAGCAGTTGTTGTAATAGTAGTAGTATTATAGTAGCAGCAGCAGCAGTTGTTGTAATAGTAGTAGTATTATAGTAGCAGCAGCAGCAGTTGTTGTAATAGTAGTAGTATTATAGTAGCAGCAGCAGCAGTTGTTGTAATAGTAGTAGTATTATAGTAGCAGCAGCAGCAGTTGTTGTAATAGTAGTAGTATTATAGTAGCAGCAGCAGCAGTTGTTATAATAGTAGTAGTATTATTGTAGCAGCAGCAGCAGTTGTTGTAATAGTAGTAGTATTATAGTAGCAGCAGCAGCAGTTGTTGTAATTGTAGTAGTATTATAGTAGCAGCAGCAGCAGTTGTTATAATAGTAGTAGTATTATTGTAGCAGCAGCAGCAGTTGTTGTAATAGCAGTAGTTGCAATAGTAGTTGTATCAGTAGTTAATAGTAATAGTAGTAGTAGAAGTATTAGCAGCAGCAGCAGCAGCGGCAGCAGCAGTAGTTGTATAGAGTTGTTATTAATTGTTAGATTGTGTTATTTATATCTGTCAATTACTTTTGACAACAATACGAAAGAGACAAACACTGTTCTTTGGCCACATAATGAGAAGAGAGACATTGGAGAACATCGTTACAACTGGAAAGATCAGTGCAAAAAGGGGTAGAGGCAGACCAAGAGAGATGATGCTGGATGGGCATGGAGGGATATAATCAAGAGAGCTGTTCCAGGCAACCAGGGATCGTGGTTTGTGGAGACGCATGAGTGCCTATGCCAGTTGGCAGAGCACATGATGATGAATTACTTTTGGTAATTTAATAGGAGATTTCAGGTTTCTGGCACTGCAGGCAATGGGTGCCATGTTTTGACACAGGGACACCGATGTTTCTGCCAGGGGCTCTCCCTCAATGGTCTGTTCACCATCACACTTGTCTGCTCCGCCACCTGTCGATAGGAAGTGTGTCCTCCCAGGATTGCAGTCGGCAGGATGAACACCTCGAGGATGAGAATCAAACAGGTACAAATCCCAGACACTTCATTTAACTGTTAAGTTATTATATTAGGGCTCCCGCTGGCTATATAGTATATCCGCCTGAGTGTTGAGCGTCGGCCAGATTCCCTGGTACTCCTCAGACTACGATGATCCGTTTTTGCGTCTACAGTGTTAACTCTCTACGCGCTCTTACAGCATCTAGCTTGTGATGCGTCAGTTTATCACCAAGCGATGAAAAAACCAGTCCATCTATCTGCCTGTTCATTTCCTCAAAACATCGACATGCCCTGGTGAAAGCGTTCAAAGGACGCTAATTACCGGGACCTCTAAAGCGATGCTGGCCACTCTGCACGGAACATGCCTGTCTCCATCTTTCGTGAGTATGACTTGTTATTTAAATAGCTGCATGAAGAGCATGTAAGGACTTTACATTTCAGCACAAATCTGAGGTTCATTATTTGTTACCATTGTTCACTGTCAACTCTGTGTGAGCTGGCGTATATGTAGTCAAATGTGTGGACATTAGTACTGAAGTAAAATATGTGCAGAATGTCAAATAGTGCACGTTCACTGTGAACACACACAAGGACAGTAAACAGAAAAGGCAGGTCCGCGTACACGGCATGAAACCAACTTACAATAGCAGGCTGCCGAGGTTCACCATGGCTCCCATGTGTTGCGGCTGGAGTCTCAATGCCTCTTGATAATGGTGCCGAGCCTGTGAATTATTGTTGAGCAGCGTGCCCAGATTGAGATGGTAGCTGGCAAAGCCGGGGTTCAGTCTGCAGACAAGAGATACGACAGATTGATGCGGTAGATGACATAGTGGGAGTTCGTCTGAGAGCAAGAGACACGACAGACTGATGAGATAGATGGCATAGTGGAGTTTGTCTGAGAGCAGAAGACACTACAGATTGATGAGGTAGAGGGCATAGTGGGAGTTTGTCTGAAAGCAAGAGACACGACAGATTGATGAGGTAGATGACATAGTGGGAGCTTTGTTTTATAACAAGAGTCACGACAGATTGATGAGATAGATGACATAGTGGGAGTTTGAGAGCAAGAGACATGACAGGTTAAGGAGGTAGATGACATAGTGGGAGCTTTGCCTGAAAGCAAGAGTCACGACAGATTGATGAGGTAGATGACATAGTGGAAGCTTTGTTCTAGAACAAGAGTCACGACAGATTGATGAGGTAGATGACATAGTGGGAGTTTGTCTGAGAGCAAGAGACATGACAGGTTAAGGAGGTAGATGACATATTGGGAGCTTTGTTTGAGAACAAGAGACATGACAGGTTAAGGAGGTAGATGACGTAGTGGGAGCCTTGTTTGAGAACAAGAGTCACGACAGATTGATGAGGTAGATGACATAGTGGGAGTTTGTCTGAGAGCAAGACACATGACAGATTGATGAGGTAGATGACATAGTGGGAGTTTTGTTTGAGAACAAGAGACATGACAGGTTAAGGAGGTAGATGACGTAGTGGGAGCTTTGTTTTAGAACAAGAGACATGACAGGTTAAGGAGGTAGATGACGTAGTGGGAGCTTTGTTTTAGAACAAGATACACAACAGATTGTTGAGGTGGATGACATAGTGGGAGTTTGTCAGGGAGCAAGAGACATGACAGGTTAAGGAGGTAGATGACATAGTGGGAGTTTTGTTTGAGAACAAGAGTCACGACAGATTGATGAGGTAGATGACATAATGGGAGATTTGTTTGAGAACAAGAGTCACGACAGATTGACGAGGTAGATGACATAGTGAGAGCTTTGTCTGAGAACAAGAGACATGACAGGTTAAGGAGGTAGATGACATAGTGGGAGCTTTGTTTGAGAACAAGAGACATTACAGGTTAAGGAGGTAGATGACATAGTGGAAGCTTTGTTTGAGAACAAGAGACATTACAGGTTAAGGAGGTAGATGACATAGTGGAAGCTTTGTTTGAGAACAAGAGACATGACAGGTTAAGAAGGTAGATGACATAGTGGGAGCTTTGAGAACAAGAGACACGACATGTTTAGGAGATAGCTGGCATAGTGGGAGCTTTGCCTGAAAGCAAGAGTCACGACAGATTGATGAGGTAGATGGCATAGTGGGAGCTTTGTCTGAAAACAAGAGTCCATACAGATTTATGAGGTAATTGACATAGTTGGAACTCTGAGAACAAGAGATACGATATGTTTAGGGGATAGCTAGTAGAGTGTCAGTTACAGTCGGGTGATTGAATAATGAGACTGACTTTATTATGGTTAAAACAAAATTTTCATGAAAACTAGAACAAACCCACTGCCTGCTCAAAAGCATTTCTTGAGTCGACTAATTAGGAACTTCCTATAAAGTCAGAGTACCCCTGCCTGAGAGGCAAGGAACCGATAGTCTGCGTGAAAATAAATCAGACCTGTGAAACGGATGTGCACGCAACACGCATTTTCTGGAACATGACTACTGTTCAGATGTGGACGAACAACCAGAGCTTTCCAGCCAGTTTACAGCCAGTGAACGCGAAGAAAAAGCAACAAATGTCATCCGAAAAAGCACCATTCACCTATGTTTTGGCCCAATTGGCGTCAAACCGCTTTCCCACGCCGACTCCCAATTAATGTTTGTAGTTGATTATTAATTGCCTTTGTTGTTCTCTATGTTTACACACCAGTACTGATTTGACATTAGAATTAACAATTATAAGTTTTGTATTATTTTTAATTTCATTTGGCCTCCACAAATTCTCTAGAGCTATGAAAGCTTTTCTTGCCTGCTGTATTCGTATTTTAAAATCTCTCTCAGTTCCCCCATCTTTATCTACATTACTTACGCTATAGCTTCTTTGTAATGTTTCTCAGCCTCGGTAATATTGCCTTCGTCTTTGAGCAGGTTAGCCAGGTTGTAATGTATCTTGTCGTTGTGGGGAAGGGTTCGCACCCCTGACCTGTCATAACACACACAACAGCACTGTGACTACAGCATTGATCCTTTACTTGGATAATTTCTACAATGTTGTATTCATTCATTTACTATTAACGTTTCGGCTAACGAATGTGACTCTGGAACGAATTATCTTCGTTAGCCTGGGTATCGCTATATATATATATATCTCAAAGAATATGACAGGCCGTAGGATAATGCTTCACAAAATACACGTCTAGCTATGTGCCTTTCTAACTGTCCGTGTCTTTCTCTTTCTTATATATATATATATATATATATATATATATATATATATATATATATATATATATATATATATATATATAAGGGATTAGTTGTAGGTAAAGATTTTAATATATGTTTGTGTGAGAGAGAGAGAAAGAGAGAGAGAGAGAGAGAGAGAGAGAGAGAGAGAGAGAGAGAGAGAGATAGTGAGAATAAATGCATGAATGAGAGAGAAGAGGGGTATTTTGTCCCTTCTCTTCTTCTTCTTTTTCTTCTTCTTGATAAACCGGTCACTCAGTCCGCTTGCTCATTTCTCAGCGCACCGGCATAACCTGGAAAAAATATTTAAAGGACGCCAACTACCCGGGACCTCTCAAGCGAAGCTTGCCACTCTGCATGGAGCATGTCTCTCCACCTTTCTCAACATATTCTGGGAGTCAGTTACAATTACCACATGTGTGTACAGCTGATTCTCAAGCCAGCGGAAGACAGCAGTGACTGCCTCTGCCTCCATTCTCAAACTAAACATTGTGATATCATATGTCTGGCTTTGCTGCACTAAGCGACCCATTCACCTTGCTATGAACCCCCATGCACTTTGTCTGCCCCTCAACACAGAGCCATCTGTGTAGATAATCCTATCACCTGGGCGGGAAGTGTCACGAATCATTTGTTGAACTTCTGATTTTGCACTCACGACCCAAGGTGATGTAGATCTGAAGATGAAGATACGTTGTGCCTGTTTACAGCATGGCTGCGATATTTGCGTCTTTCAGCTGACACATCTTACTTCTTCAGGCTTCTGTTGTTTGAGTTAGTCTTCCCAGGATAGCATGATAATGTTGAGATGTTTTAAAATTCCTTCTTTCTTTTCTCCATTTTCTGCTTTGTGTCGCTAGGTGCAGCAGAGTGCCAGATTATCGGTTTCCGATCTAGGGCACGTTTTGTTGCCCAGTTTGCCGAAGAGACAAAGAACAAAGAGCAAGAGGTAGACCAAATACACGATTTAAAAAAAAAATTTAACATCAGAGGAACTCTAGAATAGCATGATGTATGCATGGTCGAGACGGTCAAAAGAGTGAGATGCAGAACCACAATACTCGTCTGACACCCGAAGGGCTAAAAGAGAAAGGGAAGAAGAAGATCGCAGATTGTGAAGAGGCTTGATCGCCCCCGCGAGTCGGCAAGGCACTTGTTGATGTTTAGAAAAAAAAAAGAAAAAAGGGAAAAGGGGGCGAAAGATGGATGTGAAAAAAAGGGGGGATGTGAAAAAAAGGGGGGGGGGGGGTGGGAGGGTCCCACCTTTGAAAATAAAAGGGGCCCTCAGGTGTGGTATGTAACTGAGAAACGCCGCCATAGATCATTACTTGATGCTGACAGCAACACTTCATACTAAATGGGATATCGCTTTTCACATTCATAGCGACCGCCAGGTCTTTGTACCCCGTCTCTCCTTCTTCTAAAACTTCACTTCAATGGGCCACCTATGGCCTTGAATAGTTTCACGGCTCCCACTGAACTTGTGTATACAAAAGTTGAGATTATGTGCATACATATTTTATGCAAAGTGTGTTTGATGATAATAATACAGCATGACATTAGGCGAGGTAATCTGACGTCTAACTGGCCGAGAAATGCAGCTAAGTCCTGGCACACTTCAGGATTATTGGCGTGGGCGTTTGATAGAGGATATTGCCAGTAGGTACGTCATCAAGTTGACATATTATAACAGGCACTCGTAGTTTGAAGTGAAGAGACGAAGGGCACGCCAGAAAACATAAAATATGGACCGAATGATTTATCTCTGTGTGTGTGTGTGTGGTTTTTTTCCCCTTCTTCTTTTTCTGTCTTTCGAACCCCCAGTGGAGCATAGTCCCTTAGCCAACTCTCGCCAAGTTGTTCTATCCTTCACTACCGCTAACATTCCAGTTGCCAATTCTGGAGGTTTTCCTTAGGCGAGAAGATGTACGTCGACGATCCGGACCCCTTTCGGCTTTCTCTACTTCTTCTAGAAGAGCCTCCTTTCATCTTGGTAGGCCGGATTTTTCTTTTTTCTCTTTTTGACTTATCCATGGTTGATTGGTTTAAATGTTTTTGTAATAGGATAAGGTAGCCAACCTCAAGCCCAACCTTATCCTTAATCGCCTCCTACGACATGCCTGCTAGGGTGTAGTGTCAGTATTCTTTGCTTACCATGAGGGTCCTGGTGACATACGGGAGCTGGTTTTTTTTAGGAAGTACTGTCTACTTCTAATGTTTGTGACGAGCTGGCCGGCGGATCCAAAGGTGGTGAGTTCAGGTCCTGGCGGAGCCGGAATTTTTTTTTTCTTCTTAAAAATGGTTTGAATGGGTACCAGGTAAAGTCCTGAGAAGTAAAAGCGGCCTGTTTGCTGTTGACCACATCAGCAACCGAGTGTTGGCGGGCCTTTAAAATATAGCTCTAGCCTTATATGCCCAATACGCATGAAAGCGTGGAAAAGAGTCCTTTACTGGATGTAGTTCATCACAACATTGCATTTTTTTTTTTAACTGAGACAGCAAGCTACCGAACTTTATACCTACCAGAATAATGAATGGCGGGATTGCCACACCTGGTTCCTGTCCAAGGTTCGGGTTGCCAACGCCAGCAGTAAAAGCAGGTACAGTAGCATCAGCAGAGATCTGAGCCCGGGTAGACGAGACCGGAGTGTCAGGAAGCCTTGCGTCACGAGCAGACAGTAACCCATGCTGGCGGGATGGTCAAATGTTATAGTTTAGCTATGCCTTCAGGCTTTTCTATCTGTCTTTCTGTCTACCTTTCTTTCTTTCTTTCTTTCTTTCTTTCTTTCTTTCTTTCTTTCTTTCTTTCTTTCTTTCTTTCTTTCTTTCTTTCTTTCTTTCTTTCTTTCTTTCTTTCTTTCTTTCTTTCTTTCTTTCTTTCTTTCTTTCTTTCTTTCCTTCTTTCTTTCTTTCTGTCTGTCTGTCTGTCTGTCTGTCTGTCTGTCTGTCTGTCTGTCTGTCTGTCTGTCTGTCTGTCTGTCTGTCTGTCTGTCTGTCTGTCTGTCTGTCTGTCTGTCTGTCTGTCTGTCTGTCTGTCTGTCTGTCTGTCTGTCTGTCTGTCTGTCTTTCTTTCTTTCTTTCCTTCTTTCTTTCTTTCCTTCTTTCTTTCTTTCTTTCTTTCTTTCTTTCTTTCTTTCTTTCTTTCTTTCTTTCTTTCTTTCTTTCTTTCTTTCTTTCTTTCTTTCTTTCTTTCTTTCTTTCTTTCTTTTCTTTCTTTCTTTCTTTCTTTCTTTCTTTCTTTCTTTCTTTCTTTCTTTCTTTCTTTCTTTCCGCCCGACTGTATGTCTGACCCTCCACCATCTCAGCTCATCTGTCTGCTCTTCTAATTGCGTGTTTAAACTCTTTCAGCTTAAGAGTAAAACGTTTACTAAGATCTGGCTGTCATGTGTAACTGCCATTAAAAACTTCCCTGGATAGAGCTGAACCATCCATTATTGGTTAAAGTTAGTTGCCTATCCTTTACAGCAATGTTTCCTAAACTGTTCTTATTCGCGGCGCCTTTTTTTCAACTAAAATTTTAGCACATCGCCCTAATCTCGGTAAACTTCTGACTATTCGTATGTAAGAGATCACAACAAATAAAACTCGTGCATCTTTAAATATTTTGCGGCGCCCCTGTGAAAAGGTCGCGGCTCCCGCAGCGCACAGTTTGGAAATCACTCCTTGACAGGACATTGCAGAAAGAACCCAGCATTCACCCATTATTAGTCATTTAATTTTAGAAAGACGGAAAGGTTCCAATCAATAAGTCATTTGATTTAGCTAATGGACGTCATCTAGATCGGGAGAGGAGAGATAGGTAAAAGAGAGTGGGAGAACAGAGGCAGATAAGATATATACAGAAACATGAACGGTAAACTAGAGCAAGTACACGAGAGCTCCATACCTGGGGATGTACAAAACTCGCTCCGCCACCACAAAACCTACTCTAAAGAACAAGTTAGATGCAGGCAGGAACGGCAGCACCATCAAGCATACAGCCATGATCGTTGAAAGGGCACTAGTACCCTCAGCACCACATTTGTTCTGATAAGAAATATAATACGCTTGTGTTATTCGAATAAAGCATTCTTTACAACACACTACTGAATTAGTGCTAGACTCGCGTTCAAATCCAGCTGTGACTCGCTGCAGCACCACGGCCGGTGTTCGAAACCGGATGGTTCCCAACATCACGGTCGGTATTCGAAACCGGATGGTTCCCAACATCACGGTCGGTATTCGAAACCGGACAGTTCCCGGTGCTTTCCAAACCTGTAGGTCAGTGCTTCTCAAACTGGGTGCCGCGGCAGTTATCAAGAATTTTTCAAAATTTCCTTGCGATCAGCGAAGACAGCAGTTTAATACAGAAATACCACGAAGGAAGCCAGTAAGAGTTCTGGATGCAGGTGTATTCAGGCAACAGTGCTATTGGCAAGGTTGCAGTGCATTCTCAACGTACGCTTACATTAAAAGGCAGTTACAGTGTGGGTAGTAGTCTTACAACTCCACTATTCACCTTCATCGCATTGTCTCTCAGTGGTGTTCCTAGGGTATGGCAGCTAGAATATTATGCTTCGGCGCCACTTAAAGAGAGAGAGAGAGAGAAGGGGGGGGGGGGCGCCGCTTGAAAAAAAAGGAGGGGGTGGGTGGGGCGCCAACAAGCTTCGTTTCTTTTAAAAGTAGCGGAGTGTCATCTGGAGGAACCACAATGAGTTTCATTTTGTTGAAGAACGTTAGATAGTCAAGTCTATACAAATATAAACACTATTCTTGATGGGCACCGGTTACATTTAAAAAAAATGTAAAAATTTTTTTTTTTTTTTGCAACGGTATAAAACAGGCTTCCTTATGCACTACAAAGTGTTTAGAACTAGCCTCAAAACTGTGCAATGCCTAGTGAAAAAAACAATGTCTGATCCCTGAAACGGGCGCCAAACACCCTAAGTGTTGCCCCGTAGTTTTGTTGTCATTCCGCTTTGACGATGTAGCTAATCACCAGAGATATGCAGCCTCAAATCCCTACCCACACTGCTCAAGAAAGTTCAGTGCTAGAACTGGCCTCATCAGCCATCTCCACACTCACAAAACCTCATCCAGTCACCATGGGCTGAAAGGACTGGTAATGATTACCTGTGATAGACTAACAACAACAGCAACAACAACAACAACTACAACTACAACAACAACAACGACAATTAGTAACTATTCACTGTCCTTTTCAGGATGACAGTTTTCGTTATTTGAAGCCCTGCTCTGGCTCTTGCCAGGGGCCGCAATATAGGCAGGCCATAAATATGGCCTAATGGCTGAACGCGGTTTCTGGGACCACTCAACGGGTGATCCTCACTCACATGATGGCACTTTGTGTCATAGGGTGTATATCGCTTGTGTGATATCCTGGTGGGGTAGAAAGTCAGTCAGACAGACAACAACAATGAAACAATGTACCTACTGTATTGAACATTTTCTGGAGACCTGTCCAAACCATGAGCGCGAGGCTCAGGTAGAAGATCACAGAGACGATGTTCCTCAGGTCACTGACAGAACTCATCAACGGGATGCTGGCTCCGCCCCAATCATAGCTCAGTGTGGCCGGACACAGGAGCAGCCAGATGTTGAATGTCGGAAGATACAGAAATGTCAAAAGTCTGGGGAATGTCAGAGCCAGGCCAAAGAATGTTGGTGCGATTGTAAATACACTTTCAGAAAACATGTGAATATGAACACAAAAAGAAAACGGTTCAACACAATATCCTTACCAATGCAATGCTATCAATGTTAAACATGGACACTCTTCAGAAGACAGATTATACAAATTGTCACGATAGAAATGAAATGTTTATCTACTATGCTAGCTGTAACAAGCAAAGAACGATGCTACCAGGAAGAGACTAGGCACCGAACCAATACTGAACTTTATAGGTAGAAAAAAAAAATCAAAGGGTTTAGCCATGTAACAAGATCGGCATCAGACAGGGCATTACAGAGAGCGATGTTGTACAGATGCAACGGTAACATTTCAGAGGTCGTCCAAAGAGAATTTGGACCACATTCCCAAAAAAAAAATATCAGAGACACTCAAAAGTACTTTTAAATGAAGAAGAAGAAGAAGAAGAAGAAGAAGAAGAAGAAGAAGAAGAAGAAGAAGAAGAAGAAGAAGAAGAAGAAGAAGAAGAAGAAGAAGAAGAAGAAGAAGAAGAAGAAGAAGAAGAAGAAGACGAAGAAGAAGAAGAAGAAGAAGAAGAAGAAGAAGAAGAAGGAAAAGAAAAAGAAGAAGAAGAAGAAGAAGAAGAAGAAGAAGAAGAAGAAGAAGAAGAAGAAGAAGAAGAAGAAGAAGAAGAAGAAGAAGAAGAAGAAGAAGAAGAAGAAGAAGAAGAAGAAGAAGAAGAAGAAGAAGAAGAAGAAGAAGAAAAAGATTCTACTGCCCGGCAAGTCAGTGTCTGTTCCACGCTGGATGGGAAAAGATATAATTTATTAATGTTTTTTTCACATCTTTAATGAATCCAGTTGCAGTTACAGTCACCTGCAATCAAAAACTCCAGCCTCATTTTTGGCTGCAAACACACAGCCATATTGAGATCTCTGAATACCAGTTAAACAGGGTAACATCATTTCTTACATTATTCTGAGCTTACCTGGTCAACAGAGATGACGAGAATGATGCCGGGTTGGCGTCTTCCAAGAAAACTTGTGGTTGTTGAAAAGCCATCATCCACAGTCTGAAGATCAGCAAAGTCACACCCTGCGCGGAGTAGAACACAGAAAGTAGAATTGTTTAGGCCTCTCTGAACAAAAGCCTGTTGTTTAGTCATACAATGAGACAGGCCTATATGAACACGAGGCTCTTGTTTAGTTATACAATGAGACAGACCTATATGAACACGAGGCTCTTGTTTAGTTATACACTGAGACAGACTTATCTGAACATAAGCTGTTGTTTAGTCATACACTGAGACAGACTTATCTGAACATTAGGCTATTGTTTAGTCATACACGGAGAGAGACCTATCTGAATATTAGCTTGTTGTTTAATTACATACCAAGAGAGACCTGTCTGAACTTTAGGCTATTGTTTAGTCATACACTGAGACAGACCTATCTGAACATTAGGCTATTGTTTAGTCTTACAATGAGAGATCTGTCTTAACATTAGGCTGTTGTTTAGTCATACACTGAGACAGACCTATCTGAACATTAGGCTGTTGTTTAGTCACATACTGAGATAGACCTATCTAAACATTAGGCTGTTGTTTAGCCACACACTGAGACAGACCTATCTGAACGTGAGGCTATTGTTTAGTCATACACTGAGACAGACTTATCTGAACATTAGGCTGTTGTTTAGCCATACACTGAGACAGACCTGTCTGAACATTAGGCTAATGTTTAGTCATACACTGAGACAGACCTATATGAACATTAGGCTGTTGTTTAGCCATACACTGAGACAGACCTGTCTGAACATTAGGCTTATGTTTAGTCATACACTGAGACAGACCTATCTGAACATTAGGCTTTGTTTAGTGACACACAGAGACAGACCTATCTGAACATTAGGCTATTGTTTAGTCATACACTGAGGCAGACGTATCTAAACAAAGGGATGTTGTTTAGTCATACAATGAGACAGACCTATCTGAATATTAGGCTGTTGTTAAGTCATACACTGAGATAGACTTATCTGAACATATGGCTGGTTGTAAGACATACACTGAAACAGACCTATTTGAACTTAGCTTTTTGTACGAAATTTGTGTGTGTGTGTGTGTGGCAACTTTAGGTTCCTTCTAGCTTTAAACAGCTAAAACGTCAGACCAGACATTAAAGACCAGACAGATAGGTGGACAGACACACACACAGGTAAACATGCAATCAATAGAAATATTACCTCACCGCGGCGACTAGCAATGAACATCTGATGAGGCTCAGAGAGCTACACACACACGCACAGGTAGTCAGACAATCAATACAAACATTAACTCACTGCAGCGACTAACAGCGAACATCTGATGAGGCTCAGAGAGCTACAGACACCCAGCTTGCCTTGTCGGAGTTGCCTGCAGGAGAGTTCAAACACTAAGGTATTGTTGCATACCAGATGCTGTCAACATGATGAGAGACTATCTTCTTATAGTTGATGAAATTAAACCAGGGAAGCAGGACAACGTGCATAAAACACAAATTGATGTTTAGGCCCGTGCTTTCTCGGCATGAACTAACTCATGAAATTAACCTCATGTGTATTTTGTGCACGTTGTTTTGCTTTCCCTTTAGGCTTTTAGCCACAGTTCACTGGTTTAAATTCTTGTTGTTTAGCTTTAACCAGAAGAGACAGGGTCACAGCATTAGAAAGGGGAGTAGCACAAGATCGTCACAAAGCCACCCGAAAAGTGCAATACAAATACATCTCGACAACTGTGTGACGAAAAGTTATTTATTATGAGTTTTGAATTAGGAACCGACATCGTAGAACTCAGAATGTGACGCTGGCGTTGCATAGGTTACACGTTAAGAAAACCTAATAGCAATATAATTAGAATGATTTTACACTAGAACCCACAGAGTCAAATGAATAAGGACAGATCAAGAAATGGCGAAGAAAACTAGAGAATGAAGTAAAAAAGATGTGGAGGGCATGGGGTAAACTGCATACAGTATCAAAGGATATTACGACGTGGCAGCGGTTGGTTGAGGGCCTATGCTCCACTGGGGGATAAAGGAGATAATGTGAAGGTACATTCGGGAGATGTGAACCAGTGTCATTGCACACGGTTATAAGCCATGAGTGCTCTGCCACCAGTACGGACAGCTGATAAGAAACTGTCTACCTGTGTCGCCGTCCGCATGCAACTCCGTAGCTTCAGCGACGTTCCTCCATTTACCCAGAGTGTCAACTCTGGTACCAATTTCCTAGCGGCTTGGTGAACCTGGGCAACCGCCCGGTATAGAATACCGGCCGTGGTGCTGCAGCGAGTCGCAGCTAGATTTCAAAGCGAGTCTCCTATCGACTGTGCTAACGCGGCCCCCTATATAATTGATATAAGAAGAAGGTTAACAAGAGAACTGGATAATTTTGATTATTAGTTTTTGGGGAGTTAAAATGTATATGGTACGGATAAAACGCGATAAAGGGTATTGAACACTCAAAGTGATTATGTATTGATATAGTAAATGTAAAGGCGGAGCGTTCGGGAGGATACTAACCTAATCACAGAAAGAAGAAAGGCAACATGGAAGCTAAATTTTATGGCAGGGCAGACTAGATCTTAGCCTTGGTTGGTAGCTGGTCTAGGAAGGAAGCTCTGAGAGGCGGACAGATAGAGCACTGCTCCTCTGAACTGAGAGCCTCTTCAGCACGCGTTGTTCCAACCATATTGGAGCAAGTATGGGGAAACCTGATTGCGGTGATGTGGAAACTTCGACTTAGACTAAGAGTGGTGTTGCGTTTAAACACAGCACACACAGAGCGGGATATTGCTGCAACTGCAAAATGTAGTCCCTACAATACTCGAAAAGCTTCCTGGTAGGAAAAGCATATATAAAGGTCCAGCATTTGACAGCTTTTGTCGTATCTGCCCCAGGACTGGATTACATAACTGCACAAGGGTGTCATTAGCACAAATTTGCTGCAAGCATGTAGAACAGCACTCACCGAACAGTTTTGCTCCCATGAAGTGTCAAGTCAAACAGCAGCGATACCCCCAGAACTGTGATCCCTGTCTCCTTACACAACATGGCTGCCGTTGCCAGCAGCAGTGAGATCAGCAGGTGAAACATCTGCCAGGGCAGCAAGTCTGCTGCTCGGGATTTCCATGAATGTCCGTCACAGCTGACGCCAGTTCTGCTGACGCAACAATATGTCGTCGACCTAAAAAAGAAACATGAAGGATCGGTGTTTTATTAATATCTTACCCCAAACAGGGGAAATCCACAGGTCATGGGACAATCCTAATATTTCAGGGGGTGGTAGATAGGCTGCATGCAGTCGTGGGACCTAGGCTACACTCTCTCGTTGGACGTAGGTGGGTTGGGGTTAGGGCTAGCTCTAGATGTGTTTGGGTCGTTAAAAGCATTATAAAGCCGGGAAACCCAGTCTTACCATCCTCTAAAATGTTGGACTGTCCTGTGACGCCATCTGGGGTAGGATATTAATAAAGCACCGAAGGATCTTTACTGACACATGCATATTTGTATATGAGATTAAAGAGATACAATAATAATTCCAACTATGACAACTCATGTAATAGCAAGTCACAAAACAAAACAACAATATAAATAGACACACCAACATTTAAACAGACATATCGTCATATAAACAAACACATCGACACATAAACAAACACGTGACACATAAAAAAAAGCACATGACATATAAACAGACACACTGGCCTATAAGCAGACACGTGACACACAAACACATTGACATATAAACCGACACATCAACATATAAACAGAGACAGTGGCATATAAACAGAGACATCGACATATAAACAGAGACATTGTCACATAAACTAACACACCGACACCTGTATTGATTTATGTTTATTTGTTTTTTGTTTGTTAAGAACGTTTTCATATATTTTTTGGTGGGGGTAGTTTCAAGCTGGTTATCTTGTTTATATAATGTGTCTGTTAGTGAGGATGTCTGTTTATATGTCGATGTGTCGGTTTATTTTTCGATGTGTCGGTTTATATGTCCATGTGTCTGTTTATGTTTCGATTAAAATGTCGATGTGTCTGTTTATGTGTCAAGC